GCTACTAGATGCTTCCTCCCCATCCTCCTCCTCACTAGGCTGACCAAGTCCAGTTCCCCTGATTTCATCTTGCTTACAGGGATACAAACGTCCAAAGAACCAAGAAGGTCTGTGCTGTTTATAATGCCAGGACAGGAAACAGTAAACCTCCAGTGAAGACAGCGCTTTTAACACATTGATCAGCAGTATAAATGTTGGCTTAAAGCTCTGCATTCCCCCAAACAGGCTGTCAGTAAGCTCCAAAATTAGCTACCCCAATCAAAATTTTCTCCTTGAGATCCTTGCTGAATATTCACCTTCATCAGCCTGGACAACATTTGGCTGTCCTGAAGAAGCTGGTCAGGCTCCTGAACATATGCCATGTCCAGATGGTGACTCCAGGAGCGCTTGCTCTGCTGTTCAGGTAGATGCCCACTGAAACAATGCTACTCCTTGTGCTAGAATCATAGGGAAAAAGCTCTCCAGTTGCTCTCCTCTGTGGCTTACAGAACCTTCCCAAAGGTGGTGCAAGCCCTTTTCCTCCAGAGCTTCTGCAGAAGCACCTGCACTGAATTAGCACTGAATTAACTGAAGGTGATCTGTGAAATCTCATCTCCCATACTGTTTCTGCCAGTGTCTTCCAAACTCTGGCATTATTTTTGGTTGTCCTTCTCTCAGAAGCTTAATAGAAAGCTTTCCAAAGAAGCCTCTGCAGGAACCCACTGGGATCTGTGGGGGAAACACTCACTCTGGAACAATTATAAAATTTGTTTATTTGCTGTTAGCAAAGCTCAGCAAACATCTTGCCAACATCTAAAAAGCTGCCACAGTGGTCATCCTACATTTACAGAGAAAACTTGGTATGGATGTGGCAGAGAGGCACTGAAAAATGAAGCCTGTGATCTGTACAATGATCACACAATGTGAAGCTGAGCCGTGCTGGAGCTGGTACAGAAATAACCCCTCAGTTGCGAGTGTTTCCTGAAGGAGTTGAAGTGGCTGCCCTGGGCACACTCCCACCTATAATGTTACATGACAACAGATGACAGGGAGGGTCTTAAGAGATCAACTCTGGGCATGGTGAAAGGAATAAAATCTGGTGATCCCTGGCAGAGTATGGATACCCCAGCTCTTATCTCACTTTACCATTAAAAAGATTCTCTGATCTACCTGCAGGGAGTTGAAAGACACCACAGATTTAGTGGTATGGCATTAGCAACACACATAACAGCAATGTATTTTTGCTTTTAAAACACCAGGAGGGAGATTTCCCTAGGATTATTATTAATACTCTTTGTAATGTTAAACTGGAGATAAAAATTTACTTTCTGTAATTAACCTGGATTAAACAAATGTTTGAGTTGTCAGAGGTATGTAAGAGCTGTTAGATATCATGTGGATATTTAAACTGACAGAACTAACTTTCAGCTGCTCAAGATTCCTTTTCAACTTGTTTTTGGAGTTACATACATCTATAATTATTATTTCTATATAAAGGCTGGTAAATACTTGATTTGGCCAGTTAATAATGTATTTCATGTACTTTCATGTATTTCATTGTCTCTATGCTTGAGCCAAGTGAGGTGCCAAGGGAGAGAGATCCCAGCAGTGCCAAGTCTGTTCACACCCTTTCAGGCTTTTGCTGTCTGAGCAACATGTCAGTGTTGTGAGTCTTGAGATGGGCAGTTCAAAGCCTGCTTGGCTCTTTCTACAGCACATTTCAAGTAAAAAATACCCAAAACTTCAAGAAAGGAGAGGAAAGTCCAGTGTTCCTTCTGATAGAACCAGTGTCTGGGACACTGGTCCTGCGCTGACCAAATGCTGCATCTGAGCAGCCAAGAGAGGCCCTGTGGCCAGGGAGCAGATGCATCCCAGGGACTCCAAACACAGCTTCACCTGCCTCCATGTGCCAGGCACCAAACAAGTGTGGGACCAGCCAAAGGCCAATAGCTGCTTTCATTCCCATTGAAGAGCACCTTCCAGGAAAAACACGAAGGCAGTCCCCACCACTGGGACCATGCCAGCTGTTCCTCATGTGTGGTTGTATAGATGATTTATCTCTAAATACTCCCTCTCTTTTTCAGTTCCATCTTGTTTGCTGCATCACTTCTCTGACTTGCCTTGGTTCCTCCAAACTCTAATGTTCTGCTTCATGCTTCCAGCTGCTCTCATCAACATTATCACCGGAAAACAAATGAATTCTGTATCCCATGATCTCAGTTAATAAGAGCTGCTCCAGGAGTTCAACCTCCTACCTGGTTTTGCCCATCCTCATAAGAAGATTATCTAAATTAATCTTCCACAGCCTGCTTATGAGAATTCCAGAGAAGGCAGTACAATTATGAAGATAAATCAGTAACCATAAATTGAAAGTACAGTCTTTCTTGGCTAAAGAAATCAAATGCCTGAGTGGGACTGTAACTAATATCCAGGGGAAAGGAAACTTTGCATTCACTTTGAAAGTCTATGCAGGGGTCATTCTTTACACCAGAAGAAAACAGAATATTAAATATAAAAAAATAAAATAAATATGTATATATAAATATATAAATAATTTAAATATAAAAAAATAGTTGGTGCATGTGCCCCTATTACCAAGGGCTCAAGAGGACAACCAACAGCATCACAACTATTATGATTACACCAATAATTTCAAGGGACATGGTACTGGCCATACTGTCCACAAGGGCAAAATCAGTACAATAATGACAATGCAAAATGATAATCTCAACTAACTACACCCTAGCTGGGATGATAAAGTTGTCAACAACCCCAGTGGATTACCACAAGGCATCTTTACAAGACAGAAGCTTTCATCAACAGGATACTCCACATTCTCTGTGTACAAATTGGAGATGGTTGTTTGCATCTGCTCAAATCTTTCTTATTTTTCCTGAGTGGATGAAATTTCATGTAAAACATTTCACTTTTGTCCTTATAATTTGTACTGCTAGTGAAGACTGCAAAGCAGCTCTTCGGTGCAGTGACAGCTGCTTCAAAACACAGATAGACTGGACCTCTTCAGGTGCCACAATACAGTGTAACAAATGCAGACCCACAAAAACAAAGCTTCAGATCAGACTGAAATAATTGTAATAAAACTATACGGGTGAGAGGGCAGCAACTTATTCTAAGGATCTATGGCTACAGTTTCAGCATTCTGTGATGTTGACAGGAGATTTACCTTCACAATTGTAAGGCTAAGAGAGCTCCAAGGCAGATTGCTCTAATTTTCACTTCAACTAATACACATTCTTATCAGGAGCAGAACATTTTACACTGTGATATTTTGTGAGTTGATGTAAAGATGCCATTGTTACTTCAATCTTACTTCAAGACTCTTATAATCATTGAGCAGATACTGAATAGCCAAAGCAGTTCCTCTTTTGCATGTGAATAAATGAGAGTTTTGCTAATGATTTACTGTTAGGGCTTTTTTATTCTTTCACTGAGGCTTCTTCAATTCCAGACTGATCAACTCTGTTGCCACAAAAAATCATATCTTAAGGACAAGCAAGGCCATGTTTAAAGAAACACTTCCTGTTAAATGAATTATATTGTCACCATTAATACCTTATTTTCAATGAAAATTGACAGTGAACTAAGCAGGAAACCTCTGACCATGAAGAAGCTCTTCAAGCCCTGCTAAAAGCATTTCAAAAACAAAATATGTCAGAGGTGAGAACCTGAGGAACAGTGAAACCACTCAGCCTATGACTGATCCTGGAGGGAGCCCTCCAGCTACAAACCTAGGAATAACAATTCCTAACATTTCAAGACAGCAAAATGCTGCTTCTCGGTCACACTATAACTTCCCACAGTCTCCACACTCTCCCCTCTCTACACCCCACCTCTCTCTTTCTCAGTCTACACCTCCTCTAGTAATTTATACATGCCAGGAAACATTACTTCTCTTTCCTTACAAAGACAAGTATTGCATAATTTCTGCTTTCTTACAAATCAGCCCTGCCTCGCTGAACCTGACAGCTCCATTTCCTGTCAAAGATGATGTGACACCGACTCACAACTCTGAGGGGTTTTCCCCATTTGCAATCCATTCTGAAAGCAAGCTGTCACCTTTAAGCCAAGCCCAAAGGTGGCTTGTATGCCTGAAAGCTTTTCTGCTTTTCAAACTACACTCTTTGGTCTAATGAAAGACATCACCTCTGCATATGTCCTTAGGCATCCTGGGCACAATGCCACTGCTGTTTTTATGTAGTTTAAAAATCAAGACATATTTACAGCCCAAGTAAACTTTTAAGCCTTATCAAAATATCAAAACATGTTTTTGAATCCATAAAGGCTTAAAGACACATTGTTCTTCCCAAACCATTAGGACTGTGGAAATTGGAGAGGTATTTTGTGAGGCCACTTTGAAATTCTGATTATCAGCCTAAACTTTTTATAAGGCATCCTCAATCAAAGGTTTGAAAACAGAACAGAAAGGGCTCATTGCCTTTAGAGAGAAAGATAAAGCCATAAAATGCAGAAACTCTTCATCCTTAGTAAGACTAAAACAGTTGTCCGAATCATCAGTCTCCCTTAACTAATCAGTCAGCCCCAAACTCCGACAGGATAAGGAATTCCAAATTGTGAGAAAACAAGTACAGATCAAAACAAATTGACATTCAAATGTCTTCACTCTCAACTTTGTATTCACCTTTACAACTAACTTTAATTGCCCTTGGAAAGTATTCCATTTGATACAATTTCAACACTCTTTTGTTCATCTTTTCCCTCCCAGAGTTGTGGTTTTTGTAGCAATTAAGGCCTTAATCTTGATATATGTAAGAAGCCAGCAGACACACTCTTCTGTTCACTCCTAAAATTCACACCATGCACAGCCACAAACAAACTAATAATATTTTTTTTCCATTTAAGACAGAATACATATTTAGAAAGCATCTGAACCACTTTATGAGAGGTGAAAGCTCCACCAAGAAAATACTTTCTAGTTGAAAGCGTGTCAGTGTGTCTGCATCCAACTTATCCTTGTTGGGAAACATGACCTGCACTCTTACCATCATGATTAGAATTTCCCAGGGTCCATGGCTCATCTGAATCAAAGTGAGTGTCACCTCCAATTCCCGGTCCAGGAAAGTAAGCGTGAGCCAGGAATCCACCCTCTCCATCAAAGGGAGAACTGTCTCCATGGAAACCAGAAGCAAAAAATATCATAATATCTGCCTCCTTTCTGTCATTTTTAATTTCATGGTAAGGGACCTCTTCAAAGGTAAGTGGTGTCACTCTCTGCCAAACATCAAAGGCCTGACGAATGGCTCTCCTTGTATCAATCTCACCAACCTTGGGGGTGTAGTTGTGTACACTGTGGGAATGAGAAAGAAGGGATGTTTCAATTTCCAGAATACATTTGAGAGTTAGCATTCTATAGCCACACAGTTTCAACTTCCAAAGGGAATTTTTTTGCGGACTCTACTCTGTGCATGCAAGGTTTTGCTGTTACAAAGAAAGTTACCAACAGAACTGCCACCCTGATCTCAAGTCTACATTAATTAACAGGAAGCTTCATAATGCTTTGGTTGATCTTGGATCACTTCCCAAAAACTTTCAAATCTGGGTGTAGATGGCTGAGTAACTTTTTTTAAAAATGTAAATTACTTCAAATTTTGTCTGAGGTCATGCTAAGATGGAATCTACTACATGAAAACACTTGACCACTAAAATTCATTTTGAGAAACAAACTTCCAGTAAACTACACAACCTTACTTATATGACCTGCTTCATTCTCTGAACTACTTAAAATATTTTAGAGCTCATAAGAGTGATGGATCTGTCAGTTTTGTGCAGCCCAGTCATGACAGCTAGATACAGCGTTTGGGGAGACTAAGGGGCATTTAACTGCACATAAATGTCCCATAATTCTAAACCTATTGTTATAAATGCTATTCATGAGGTATTTTGTGCATCTGCGTGTAATAGCCTCATGATCTATTAAACTTGACTTGGGGAATATGAAATATCTATGTCATGGGAACAATTTTCAGTCTTTAATGAAGCTGACTCAATTTAATATAAACACACTGTAACATATTCAGTGGTGAATCAAGATACCCATCACTTGAACGCACACTTACAAATACTGAAATCGGAAAGCTAAACAACAACTGGTTTGACAAGGGCAGCAGTGCAGACATCTGCCAATCTGTTTCTCTTGCTTATGCATATGCTTAAGACATATTTTATTTATATGATTCCATACCACTTTCCCTTAGGATCCAGAAAGGTTAAAAGAAGGATCTGATTCTCAGACCTCGGCATACAGGTGTCCCTTTACAATTTGAGTTAAGATAATGATTACTAGTGGAAGCCTTAACTAGTCCCCAGAACAAGTCCCTCCTCCCAGTCTCTGCAGTCCCTCACTGTCACTTGAAGCATCCTCCTCCTTTCTCAGAATTCTTGGCAGAAGTGACAGAGGGCCCCAGTCCCTGATCCTCTTTCCTCTCACACCATCATGTCCTTTCCTACACATTCTGGCGCTTTCCCCATGCTGGTCACTCTCATTTCTACCTCTTCACTGCAGACTTTCTGTCTTAGTATTACCCAGATCTTCTCCTTAATGACTACATCTCTAATTTTCACTCCTTTCTCTCCTTTGCCCCTCCAAAAATTTTAAAAAGTTGTTAATTTCAACTAGAGGGTGGGTTAATTTTAATTTGAAATTACATTCCTATTGCCAGAAACCTCCACTGGCCATCTTTCAGCAACTGTCTTTCAAAAACTCACAGCCTGACTGACTCAGAACATGTCTGTGGGAAACAACTGCCCCTCTGCAAAACTCCCTTGACACCTGTAGCTCACCCCAGCTGATGTTACCTCAGCTGGCCTAAGTCTGGATAAAAGCAAGGGCTCTACTACAGGAGCAGAAGTAAAACCTCTGCAAAAATAAATGTTGCAAATCAGTAGAAGGAGAAAGCATCTCGTCCCCAAACAGTGATGTTCTTTCTGCTTTAATGGTTTGTTAAAGGTGGCATATGATCTAAAGGCTAGAGCCTTAGATTTCTAACAGAAGAAAAAGGGCCTTTTACTAAGATTTTTCTGCCAAAATTACACAACTGATGGCTGCAATTTAGGTGCCTTTACTGAACAGTTAATTTCTAATTGATAACAGACTCTTCAGTTACTCCAGTGCTCTGACAGTATTTTCTTCCACCACATTCTGAGAATGAAAGCATGGACTAGACATTACAGGGAGTTTCAGTGTAAAAGTATGTACAAATTCTGCATGCCAAACTAGTACAGACCATTTTTTCCCCATCAAAAATGGGGAGGGAGGGAGGGAGGGGGCTGTACCTGTAGGTTATGTGCTTCTGTCTCCACTTCTGGCCAGTGAGTGCATACCGCTTTTTCCTCCGGCTGCGACGTAGGTGGGGATGATCTGGAACTCCACATCGAGGCTTCTTCATCCACCTACAAGTAAAGGAAAAAAAAAAAAACCAACAAAAAAAAACAAGCTACAGAAAGAGTTTGGAAAAGAGATTCCAAAAAACTCAGGGGGTGACTGGAAGACCTCTGATATATGGCCAGTGCTAACCCCAAGAAGGGTTTAGTCCTCCCTCTGGGAGGTTTACTCTCTGCAGAGGGCTGTGCTACCCACCTCTGCTGTCAATCCACACACCTCAGCACACCAAAACTGCTTCATTTTTCCTCATGGAAACACAGATTCCAGATTAGGTAGTCCCTATGCTTGACAAGAGCTTAATGATGATAATGTCACAAGAGACCCAAATCAAAATTACAGGCGGGTGTGCCCTGTCACCTCACCTATCACCTGTTGGATCCTCTCTACATTTGGTAAAGTGGTCCTGTGCCACTGAAAATTAATCCAGTTCATACCTCACTAGGTAAAACTGAACAAGTGCAAACACAACCCTCCCAATTAATAACTAAGGCTTTCATCTGGAATGACCAGAACAGATCCCTCCAGTCACTGGGTCACACACACCAAATTCCATTAGGTTCTCCCCATAATCCCTGACTCTTGATATCACTCATGATGCAGGAAACTCTAGTCTCTATTGCCAAGTGAACTGGAAGAGTAAAGGCTGCTGTCTCTTGCACATGGATCCATGCAGTATTATCAGAGAAGTCCACTCTCCTTCCCTATCTTCTGCCTCCAGCCTAGAAAGATTTTTTGTTTCTTTCTTACAGCAGCTTGGGGGTGGTCAAACACTGGCAGAAGTTGCCCAGAGAGGTGGCAGAATCTCTATCCTTGGAGATATTCAAAACCCAACTGGAAATGGTCCTGAGCAACCTGCTCTAGATGTTCCTGTTTTAGCAGAGGGTTGGAGTAGATGAACTCAAGACGTTCCTTCCAATCTCAATGATTCTCTGACAGAGAGCCAATGAGAAATAGAATGTTCCTCAAAATACACTTGCTCATGTGGGCATGCTCCAGAGAAGCCAGATGTTGCCTATGGAGGAACAAATTTGCCCATTACTGCATGTGGCAGCTGGGGAAGAAGGAGACAAGGACAGAGACTGAGGAACTACAGGTACTGGTCTCCACAGGTCCCCAGTCACATCCTTTAAGAGTTTGCAATGTGTCCCAGGACAGGAAAGCAGAGCCCAGGAATAAGACAAGCAGTCTCTGGCCACAGCCTCTGCCTAAGCAGACTGGCACTGTCAGTGGACAGCCACTGGAATTCTTCAGGCATTTCATGCATTTGATCCACTCACTTTGATGGCAAAGGCAAGTAACACAAAGCCCTTAAGGACACTTTGCAGGACACGCCACTGCCTCATTAAACACAAGAAAAGCATTCTAGCCAGTCCTGGCCCATTTCTCACAGGACACCAAATTCTCACCCCCCTCCTCAGTAAAGATTCTCCCATATCCTTGGCCACCCAGGGGACAACATTTGGCCTTCAAAATGTAGCCATCAACTGCAGCCAGCCAATGGCAAGTAGTCCTCACTTGTGCCTAAACAATGAACATGTGTAGCCGTGGAAAGGGATTTTAACCCTTTAAGTGCGGCGAAAATAAGATGCACAGCTACATGGTCATCTTTCATGATAGGAAAGAGACAAGTGTATTCAGGAACACACTTGGTTTTATATCATGACTCGCAATTCCAAGAGCAGAAAAAACATGATTGGTTCAGAGAGAAGACACCCCATTCCCAGGGCCTGGTCATGCACTACAACAGGTGTTCTATCTTTGTTATTAATTCCTTTTTATTTTGACCAAGTTATCATCCTGAGAGAAATTCTCCCTAGCCTACAGCTGGACCAGCTTATCGGCTGGGAACAGAGCTGAGAAGCTCTGGCCTGGAATATTTTTCAGGCTGCAATTTTCTTGCTTTCTCAATATGTGTGCCCACAAACATGTTATTCACCAAAAAATATTAGCCCCAGACCCTCAGGAAGGGAGAGTCTCCCATCACCAGTAGATGGTTTACAAGACTTTTTGCCAGGACACCTTTTAAACTAAAATCAACCAGACAGACAGACACTGTGCCACACCAGAAAATTCTTTTAGAACACAAACACCTGCTCCCAATTCAGGCAGCCATGCAGCCCTTTCTTGATTCCACTTCCTATATGTCATTCTGGTTGCTTCTTATAAATTTCAGTGCAGTCATCTGTCATCGTCTCCCCACCAAGAACAGAGCAAATTAGATCTATTACACACATTGCACTGTACCTGACAAGAACCCAAACTGTGTATATAGAGCCAGCACAGATCTTCCCCACTTATATGACCTCACATTTATCAGCACTGTACATCTTTCAGAAATCCAGCCAACCTGTGGAAATTGGATCAGTTGCCCACAAAACTGCTGCCATTTTCAAAGAAAAGCAGTACATCTAAGATTTGCTTTTAGAAATATCAATTCAACCTGAACACACTGTGTTTCTTCAAGTGTCCTTTATTTGTGCCCTTTTGCATTGCTTCTAGCACTATCCTAGGCACCTGAAGTTTACTGTCATCTGTATTCTCCCAGATATTTCCTGAGTTTTCAGGGTTTTTTTTAGTTCCACTCATGCTACGATACAATGTTTTTATCATAACCTTACACAAGCCATAGTGTGAATCAGGTTTTCACCTCTTGAGCTTCATGGGAACTCCAGTACTCTGAACATCACCATCATCAGGCCCTGACTACAGTCAGAAAATGACCTTCTGTTTTATCCTTACTAGTATCATCTAGAAGACAAAAAATTAACAGAGCAGTACTACCAAACCAGCCGGCACATGTGGAGAAGTCACTGGGACTGTCCAGGGCAGTGCTGACACACCAGCAGGACCTCACACCTCAGCATCTGTTTCCTGTAAGAACACTTTACCAAGTTCACAACACTTGCCCTATGCCCAGCTGGCCACAGGAATTCACCTCCAAACAGCTCGGCCCATTGTTATCAAAGCCAGAACTACACAGAGACCTCACGGAAAGTGAATTTCCTCCAACAGTCAAATTCCCTGCCCCTTTGCCAGTTCCAGGTACAGGCACAGGGCATGGGGCTGCTCCAGAGGAAGCTGCAATACTGACACCTGGGGCTTCAAGGACTTCTTGAGCCTAAGTCCTAAGGCAGAGCTGCTGAGACTCATGCTGCCCGTGGCTTCTAACTCCTCTTTATATATAGAATATAGATATATATATATATAGAAACCCCATTTCACTTAGGCCTGTCTGTACCCCCATATTCTACCACAGTTTGTTCCAGAGCTCAGCCACTGCCTGTCTGAAGCCAAGTAACAGAGCCCAGCTTCCTGGCTGGAGCTTAGCAGTACCCGAGCTGTTGCCAGCCTGAGCTAATGTCAAGCTGAGAATGTTTATCTGGATCAGTTCCCTGATTCCTAGACCGTGGGAAGTAAGGGTCCTGGTCTAATCACAGGGACCAGGGTACAAATCCAGCCATCTCTCCTCCTCTCAGCAGGGCAGGTCTATGGCAAAATATCCATAAAGCTGTAGCTTGCTGCTGTTAATCATCTGTCGCTGAGCTTTATGACAGTCATTCTACACTGAGCAGTTTGGATAACCCTCCTGTGTTCCAGGGAAAATCATCACATCAGAAACAACAAAAGACTATTACTTGAAGCAAGATTCAGATACTTATGGTAGATTCCCCCTTCCTTAATTTTTAAACGGGAACACCAGTAACACTGGATGATCAAAATTTATACCAGACACTCTTGAGGCACAGACTATTGCATTCCTCCAACTGCTTGGCATCAGAAAACAGGCAATTTCTAAAAGCAGTGACATCTAGTTCTTGTCCAGATAAAGCTGCTTTCCCCAGCTCAGACTCCAGGCCCTTCACAAGACTCTCCTAAAGAGAGGGAGCTGTCACTCTCAATCCCCTACTCAAGCTGGTGGCAGTGGTATCTTTAAACAGCTGTGGTGCACCCCAAGGTGAGAGACCTGCACAACAGGCTCAAGACAAAGCACAAGACACTTACAACACAAGTAAGATAATTTCTTGGTTCCTTCCAAGGCCATGTGATTGACCATGATAAAGACAAATCACCACTTCTGTTCAGCACTAGCATGCCTTCTCTCCAGCATGCTCCAGGACTATATCCTTGCCCAGCTGCTCATCAAAACCACATTTCAGCCCACCAGCTGCAGGCAGACACAAAATTTGCTGAGGTATCATCAGTTTCAGGGTCTGAGGAGGCTGTTTAATGTATTCTTCCTGCTCTCTTTACAAGAAACTACATATCCTCTGATGAATGGACCCCCACCCAACCTTCCTTTTGGGTACTAAAAAGCATCATCAGTGGTGGTGTTTCTTTCCATCTCCCACTAGCAGCACCTGTATGGTGGCTTCCACATGCTTGGGTTATCGAACAAGCTCCGGATTTGAGGGTATGTGGGAAAGGAGATGAGAAACTTTAGGCTTCCATAGTAAGTGTAAATAACTCTGATCCTTAAAGTCACTTTAAAGAGACGGAACTTATGACACTGACGGAAATGACAGAAAAATTCCTAATTGCAATCTCAAAACTCCTAATACAGACTGAAACAACGGCTTAGTAAATGCTTGAGTAATTCAGAGCCCTTGGAGGCAACCTGCCTTGCCAGCTCTCTTCCTTCTGCTCATCTTCCACAATCAGGTCTGAGGAAGTGACAGCCCAACACAGCCTAGGCATATGCCCCTCCAGCTCAAACGACAGGCTCAATGCTAACAGCAATCTGGACCTCCTTTTCTGTTCATGCAAATTTTAGGCAAATTCTACCCTGCCATACAACATATGGCTCCACTGACTCAGGACAGATGGAGTCAGAGCAACCAAACATGCCTCCGAAGCACACCAGTGTTTGGCTGCAGCTGAGGTCTCAAGCTTTTGGAGACTTGAGTTTCAGAAGAGGGAACCATCCGGGTTTTTCACTCATCAGCCTTTGGGTGTTCATGCACTGATCAAGCCCTGCCCATAAATACAAACTCACTAAAATGTGGGCAACACCTTCCTCTCCTTCAGAAAAACTTTTACTTACTAAAGCAGGGACTCCTACACGCAGTTTGCTCCCTTTCCTTGTCACCCACTAGGCAGCAGAAGCAGCTCCTTAACTTTCCAAACTAGCACCCCAATATCACAGCCTCTTCCCTCCCCATCCCCTTCCAAATCATCACCATCCCAAATCTAAGCTTCTACACACCAACTGCACACACAGAGCCTTGCTCGATGGCTCTGATTTGTCATTCACCTACAAACCATGTTATTAACAGCAGTGAGATTTCAGATGGAAAATCCCCCCCTTTCAAAAGCACTTTGTTTAAAACTCACTTGAAAAATAAATAAATAGGATTTTCTCTGTCCCTCAATGGAGAACAAGGGGCTCTTCCTGGGAGCTAAAGGAGAGAATGTTACATTCACTGGAGAGGCAGTCCCAGCCCAGGATGATCCCCTCCTGTCCAATACACTAATTTCTTCTATTTCTCCCTCTTCCTGCAGTCTGGAAGGCAAAAAACCAAACCCCTTTGTTCTTTACATTATTTGGTTACTTTGTGGCCCTTTCTTTTGTGCTACCATGTCCCTTTTGCCAGCAGTGTGCCCTACAAGGAGAAATGAAGAGCCAGGCAGGGCATGCTCTGAAGGGTCTGCTAATGTAGCAAGGGCAAGGGACAACCAGGCAAGGCCCAAGCAAGTTCCATTGAGCTTTCTCTTTTTGCTCATCATGAGATGCTTTTTTCCCCAGAAAGCCTTAGGAAGACCCTCTCTGCATTCTGCTTTAGTTAGCAGATGCTCCCCAGACCAACAGCAGATGGATCCAGCTACTACACAACCAGACAAGGAGCCACTTCCATACCACCCTTTGCAGCCCACACTGAAGAGAAGACTAAAAAACAAAGTCCCTCCAGCCCCAGTGGTTTACACCAATGCTTCTGAGCTATCAAAACTCTGATCACAAACAACAACACATGGTCAACGTACACCAGAGAACATCCAATGTTCAACAAATGGCAACTGTGGGCAGCTAAGTAGCCTTGACTACTGTCATCAGACTACATCAGAACAACTCACTTCAGTTCAAACTATGTATCTCCACAAATAGCATCTATGGAGATACACAATCCAGGTAATTAAGAAATAGATTAGAAGCAATTACTGGAGACAGAATTTTAACCTAAATTCAGACAGGGATGGAAATAAATTAAACCCTTGTTGTCTTCCACTTTCAGGAGCTCACAGGATTCATGCTTTGATTGTGCACCAGCAGTGGGGATCTGTGTTCAAAGGACAACAGTAACAAGAGCTTCTCCTCACACTCACAAAAAATACTGTTGGCAAAAAGAAAAGTGGAATTGTCCACAGGTTTTGTTAGAGACATCTTTTCATAATCAAGACTTTTCTGATACAGTCAGTCAGGCAAATCTATCCCTTTTGAGGACTTCTTGCACCTGGAATAATTACCCAGGAAGTATGACAATGCATTAAGAAAGAGAAAGACAAAAGTAGCCTATATTAATCTTACTCAATAGTTGTCTGGTCCAAAACTCCTGTTACTGGGATTCCATAAAACTGTTGCATAGTGGCAACTGCAGACTGCACAGCTTTTCCTGACTGAAAGGGAGACATTTGGCTGTCAGATGGAAGTAAGTAGCCATAAGTTTTTAACCAACCCTGAAAAAGAAACAAACAGATGGTAAGATGCCACAGTAAGTTTTCAACATAACAGTTCAGAACATTTCCTCAAAAGAAAAAGTAACAAACTAGCCCAAAAAATTCAGCCATCTCTCATTTTTTGTCTAGGTTTGGTAATATCAGCTGATTCCTAGGAAGGGCTGAAGACCCAGCTTAGTATCACCTATCCTGACATGACAAGGCAGACCTGCCACTTAAAAATTAGCATCATCCCTACTGAGCAACTGGGACAGACTTAGGTCTTTGGAGCACCAGAAATGCCCAAGAAGCTTTGTTCTTGTTCCAGGGACTTCCTGTGCACCCCGTCCCCTTGCCATCATGAGACTCCTCAGTGGCTAGAGCAGCAAGGTCCCAAGAGCCCACTGCCCACTACCCACTGCTGTCTCTGGACCATCATTCCAAGAAAACAGCTTAACAGCCCTGAGAAATCCCTGAAAACACAAGTTCAGCTTCGCACTTGCAATGAGCACAAGAGCAATTCTAAAAAACCCCAAATGAACCCAAACAAACAAACAACAACAAAACCCCCAAAAAACTGAAAACAGATTTAAAAAACTGAACAACCAAAAAAACCACACTCAGAAAGTCTGAAGACCCTGATTAGGTGGGTGTTTCCTCAACCAATAGCTAATACCAGCAAACTGTCAGAACAGGAAAATAGCCAACTCTCCTGAAGGAGTTCTGTCCCTTTTCCCTGCTTCCACCCTAAAATGCAGCCTTAGATAAAACTGCATATCAAACTTGTCAAAATGCTAAGGACAGCATTTTCAAAAACATACAATTATTCAGGATTTTTTTTCCTCTCCTCTCTTCCCTTCCCTCGCTTCATTATGAGGAGAAACCAGAATATTAAGTAATAATAATAGAATAAAAACTTGTTTTTATAAACTTTTTCCCATAACTTTTCATGTGCACCCCCTAGTGCTTCACTCTTCTTGTTGATTCAATTCTTAGACCAGGATTATTATGAGACCAACATATATCCCATAACCCTTTTCCCAATCCATCTGACCCACAAGACAGTCCTCACCACATAAGCACTGATAAATCATCTGCATGACCTATTCTCCCACTGACAGCATGATCACTCAGGGAAGGGGGAGAGAAGATGCTTGTTCTCTCATAACACAGCACAGCAGCAGGAAAGGTGCTCAAGTCAGGAAAAGCACAAGTGGGAGAACAATCTCCATTTCTTTGTGGCAACAAGAAGATGCCAGAAGCCATCAGGGAGAGAGAAGGGCCTTGCTTCCAAAGCAGGAGAAAGAATCATAGAAGGGTTGGAAGCCCATCTCATTCCACTCCCCTGCCATGGGCAGGGACATCTTCCACTATCTAGCTGGTTGCTCCAGCCTGGCATGGGACACTTCCAGAGACCCCAGGGCCAGCCTCAGCTTCTCTGGGCAACCTGTGCTAGGGCCTCAGCACCCTCACAGCGAAGAATTTCTTCTCAATATCCCATTTAACCCTGCTCTCTGGCAGCGGGAAGCTATTCTCCTTGTCCTGTCATTCCAGGCCCTTGTCCCAAGTCCCTCTCCAGCTCTCCTGGAGCCCCTTTAGGACTGGCAGGGGCTCTGGGTCTCCCTGGAACCTTCTCTTCTCCAGGTGAACACCCCCAGCTCTCCCAGCCTGGCTCAGAGCAGTGGAGCTCCAGCCTTCAGAGCATCTCCGTGGTCTCCTCTGTCCTTGTGCCAGCAGTTGGTCTCGTGTTGGGAGCCCCAGTGACAGGGGCAGTGCTCCGGGCGGGATAGGGAAGCAACCCGAGAGGACTAGGTATGCCAAAGGGCACAGACAGCGCTGCTAAACACGGAAATCACCAATGGCTTCAGGCAAAGCCAAGCTGCAAAACTGTTCCAAGACCATTTGTTACTCCTGTCTTGGTCTCTAACAAGCACAATAACTGGGACACTCCATTATAACCAACATTAGCTGCAGTCGAGCAGCGAGGGCAGAGCACAGTAACCAAAACAGCTCGGAGCGGGGCTGCCCTCGCGTACCCCCTTCCCTCCCGGCCGCAATCGGAGGCGGCAGCGGGAACGGGGCACACGGACACTCCGAGAAGCTGCCCCCGGAGACTGATGCTTATGATCACACAGGAGGACTATGGCTACTTCTCCGCCGGTCCCAACTTGCCGAGGCGCGGCCGGAGCAGCTGTGCCCGCACACCCGAGCTCAGCCCGGCCCTGCGGGAGATGATGGAAGGCTTCTGGCGGAGGAACCGCCGCCCGCCCGGCTTTCCGGCCCACCCCGAGATACCCAGCACACGTCGCGGCCCCGGGACGCCGGTGGCAGCCGCGGCCCCGCCCGGCCCCGCTCGCGGACTTACCTGGCCCGTGCTGGTGTCGGCGGCGGCGCGGAGCAGCGCGCAGAGTAGCGCGCAGAGCACCGGCAGCAGCGGCCCCGCCGCGCCCAGCGCCTGGCGCGGGCAGCACGCCATGGCCCCGGCGGGGCCCGGCCCGGCTCCGCACCGGCGGGGCTCCGAGCGCTCCGGCCCCGGCGCCGCGGCTGCGGCTGCGCGGCTGCCCGGAAGGGGAAGGGGGAAGAGGACCGAGGAAAGAGGAAAGGGAAAGGGAAGGCGGGCAGAGGAATCTGCTGCTTCCTCTGCTGGTTGGCCCGGGGCTGCCCCTCGGGGAGTGCGGCTGCAGGTCGCCGTGACCGGCCGGCATGTTGCAAAGTGTGGAATATGCAAAGTTTTCTTAAGAAAAGCTGTTCTTCGGCATGACCATCTCCGGAGAGAATGTGATGCCAGCTGCCGGTAGCCGACAGCAGGACAGCTGGAGGGACAGTCAGCAGGGACATTCCTTAGGGAATGAGGGTTATGTCGTGGACAAATTTACTAGCTCTAGGTTGTGGAAGGCCTTCCCAGATGAACTGCTATGTGTTACGAACAAGCTCCTGTTTGTTCTGTTAATGTTCTGTTAACTGTGGAAAACACCCGTTTTTATGTTAATTGTTGCTGTTGTTCTGTTCTAAATCCCACTCCCTGGAATTGCCTTGCCATTGTGCCCTTTCCCTCCCCGTCGGTAACGTCTTCGCTGCTCCCAAAATGATGCCCAGCAAATTAGAAGACCGCAAGTACTTATGGGACACAACTCAGTAAAAAAAAAAAAAAATAAAAAAATCAACGAGCCAATATAACATCGAAAACTAAAAATGGTACTCCCAAGTAAGAAAAACAGTGAAGAAGATGAAATCACCAACCAGGACTCTCTTGCATTGTCACCATGACCTAAACAGCACCCTATCGACATGACACCCCTGGACTACGAGGTAAGTCGAGTTTTCTGGGGGACTCTTGTAAGGACAGAAGGTTCAGCTCTGTTGTATAGAAAAGCTGAGTTTTTTCTGCTGGGGATTGTTCAGCGGGAGTAGCGGTGGTGTACGTGACCCGTCGGGCTCCCACCCAGAGCTGACTTTTCGGTAAAGGCATTAAAATGGGTGCTGGTATCCTTGCCTTTACTCGTTTCACTATGTAACAGAGATACCGGGCAGTGAATCAAGCTCAGTCACGAACTTCACAATTCTCTCTCCTTCTCATTGCACCCTATTTCGCAGGACACTTCATTGCACCCCGTTTCCCAGCACATGGGGATCAACAGGACTTCCCCCGATACCCGCACAGCCAGCCCCATCTCTCATAGGCTGCAGGAGCCTTTCCCTCCTGCCAGGCCAAATCATAGCTCCCTGCTGTTTCCCGGCAATTCGGACTGCTTGTAGGAAGGGCATTGCTCGCTGCAGTTCTGCCCCTGAGCAGCTTCGCAACTTGGAGCCTCTTCTTAGCCAGGTAAGCACTGGAAAGTACCAGCAGCCAGAAGATGTTCGCTCTGCTGCTTCAGCCCTGCAACTTCAGTCAGGGTTCTGTTCTGAGTTTTCTTCTTTTTTCAACGTCCTATCCTAGACAGGAATGACAAACCCAGGTTCCATTTGGGGCACGCTGTGTAACCAGAGGGGCTGTAAGGATGGAAGCAGGCAGCGCTCTGTTCCTCTGTCCCCTCTGACCATCAGCCCCTGCCAGGACTTTGTGCAGAGACCTTCCTCCCACTCTCACTGAGCTCCTGCAGTTCTCCTCTGTAAACTTAAGTGCATTTCTCTGCAGGGACATTCCCATGCTCTCAACAGCAAAATCAATGCCAGCTGACATGGAACTATCACATCATTCGCAGAATCCTTACTGTGACCCCAATGCACTACAAGGATGAATTGGTCTTTGTTTTCAAAATGAGAGAACTACAGAGGTCTGGATAAACCTTCCTGAGGGTGTGACTGTAACTTGTTTCTTATCAGCAAGGAAAGACTGTGCTGTGCGGGGTCTCTTAACTCTGTCCCATCTTGTCCTAAGCACAAGCACCCTTTTCCCCCTCTTCCCTGTCCCCTGCGGACACTGGACACCAAAAGAAAGCTCGGGAGTCTGGGTATTAGAACACATCCTATATTTACATGCTAAAAATAAACGAGAAAGAAGGGAAAAGCAATCTTAGAGATATCAGGAGATGTATAAGGTGCAGGATCCCAGGATCCCACAGAGGGTGGTGCCGGGGCTGCCTCTTCCCTTCTGATGGAGGGGATCGGAGGAGCCGCTGTGGGGGTGTTGGGGTGTGTGTGTTTATCTAGCCGGGGGTATTGCTATGTTGTAACTTGGTGCTAGAATCGCGTCTGCCTGCCTTTAGCGTTTCTGCTGGCTGCCGATGGGTGACGTGCTGCTTGATCCGATCTGCTTGCCCTCGCTGTTTCCTTCCCGCTGCTGGTGATGGTGCTGAGGCTGGTTCCTGCCCGTGAATTTACAAAAGGAGCAATTTCCCCTCTGCCCCTGACCCGAGACGCCATCGCACCTGGGGCGGGTGCCGGGCTCGGGTCGGAGCGCCCCCTGCTGGCCACGGGGAGTCATCGCCCCCGCCCTCTGCCGGCTGTGGCTGTAACTGCACCAAAGGGGAAAGTGGTGCTCGAGGGCTGGAAAATTCCTCTTATTGTTTTCTCTTGTTGTTTGTCGTTGGTTCTGTTTGATATATAGTAGAGAACTGTTTTTCCTTTTCCTTTATTTTTGCCTGGAAACCCTGTAATTTTGAAGTTGTATTTATTTGGAGGGAGGGGGTCATCTTTTCCATTCCAGAAAAGTTCCCACTTTCCTTGGCAGACATCTGTCTTTTAAACCCAAGACAATTACTGGCGCCTAGTTTATAGCACAAAGGCACTGAGAGGAGATGGTGAAAAGAGAATAACCGTTCTTGGGTAACCCGTTTGTGTACAGGATAAAGAACCTTGTTAAGTGGCATCATGTGGTCCAGCTTATCCTGGTTTGGTTGGCACATGATTGTGGCTACATTTTTCCAGTTTTCAGCTTATTCTTGAAACATCTGTCCTATGACTAAGAGCATTGTGGCTGTTATCCTGTTTGTAGAAGGGATCAACAAGGTGAGGAATTCAATGCTTGTAAACTTCTTCTGGAATGTGGGCACATGGCTATATAACTATCATGGACTAAGTTCATGTCTTTGGGGTTTCCTTACTAATGGTACCTATTGTGATGAAGCAAGATGGGGCAGTTTCCTCCCAGTCCTTCACTCACTTCTTTGGGCCTAACTCAACAGCTTTTGGAGAGTTTAAATTTCACCTAGAAGCTAAAGAGATCATATACTTGTTTATGCTTTTGCTGTGTGTATTCAGCAAGGTCCATTCATCATTCTGAGACAGGGTGAGGATACCTTGGGTAGCTACCCTAAAACCTGGCACAGAAGTCAGGGACATGGTCCAGCAGCACCACCTGCAGTCAGAGGGAAAATCTGATGGTGCAGCAGTGGAACCCATGGATGTTACAACTGTCCGGGTTCCAGCTCAACCACAAGGGCAGCCACAGCCAGAAGCAGTTGCCCCTCAGCAGAGGCGGAAATATAAAAACAAATTGATGCACCCAGTGAATGATGATGGGGAACCAAGGCCCTCACAACTAGCAGAGGAGCCAGAGCCCAAGATCATCACTGAGTCCCTGATTGTCCACTGACAATCTCTGCAGTCTGTGGAAAGAGATTGTATGGCACGAGGCTTTTTCAACCTGGCTGATTCAAGTTTGGGACCTTATTGGTACAGGCACGCAACTTGATGATACTGAAGCAAGGTTTTTGGCCCAGGATGTGGGGATTGAACAGGTGTGTTCGTGAGGGAACCAGGGTCCCTTTCTCTCTGGGAGCAGCTTGTAACAAGTGTAAGAGAGAGGTTTGCTTACAGGGACAGCCTGCAGGACCACCATCATACAAAGCCCTGGAAGACCAGGAAGGAAGGGATCTGATGCCTGAGTGTCTTAGTTTGAAAGACAGGTGTCTTGGAATGGAAAATATGACCCCTCCCCTTCTCTGTGAATTATTCTAACTTTGAAATGATGGGGCTTTCGGGAGAGCTATGGGAGAAGGAGTAGTAGTTGGTTGCCAGTGTGTGTGTGTATAACAAGGCAAACAAACAGCAGCCCCGGCACAGCCCCGAGCAGAGGCAGAGCCCCAGTCCCAGCCTTGTCCAGCCTGCGGACACCTTCCCCTGCGGTGCAGTTCCGGGCACAGCCGGCAGGGGTGCTGCTGGCTCCCGGCCGGGCAGGGCGGCTGCCATGATTCCCCGCGCCTGCAGGGGGCGCTGTGGAGCGAGCTCGGCCGCCTCTCTCCACACGGGAATGGTGGGTGGACTGGTGGGAGGGATGGAGAAGGGACTGCTGTGGGAGCTTAGGGCAAGCAGCCAGTGCTTGTGCACCTCCAGATGGTGAAATGGGCTGTAGCAGGAACCTTGGAAGCAGCAAGCCGTGGTAGGAGAAGCAGTGGGAGGACAAAAGCTCTATAGTGGCAGAGAATCCTCCAGGCAGTGACTGCAGACTGGCTGTCCTTCCTCTGATCCTGAGAGAGTGAGAGGAGCAGAGCCTAGCCCCTCACCCCCTGGCCAAAATCCTGTGGTATCTCTGCCCTTCCCAAGAGAAAACCCCTCAGGTAAGACAGTAGCTGGCTGTACCCTTCCACCTCCTCCTCTGTAGCTGTCGGTGCCTGTGTTAGGCTCCGATCTGCCACAACGAGCCCAGGCAGGTTGTCTTGAGATGGACAGCCTTTCCTGGAGTCTCAAGAAGGTTTCAGCCACAAGGTACTAGGATGCAAGCAGTGCCTGGGATCTAGGCTATCAGCTCTTTTGTGATTTTCTTCACTTGCAGAGTACCTTCTTGGCTAGCAGAGAAAGAGATCGGGAAGCACAGCGGAGGATTTTCCACAAACTCTTTATTTCATCTATGAAGGGGTCTCAGGACAGCAAATCCAATGGGTAGGGTCTTAAGGGGATTTTTGTAGGGTTAGGGTGTCTTGGAAATGGACCAATAATATAGGGGATTCTATTATTAACCAATCTACAAGAGATATTAGGTGAAAAGAGAACCAATTATCTAAGGGATTGAAAAATGGACCAGTAGAATTACAGAGATAAAAGCAGGGGTTTGCAGAGGGATAAAATTAGTCATTCTAAGTAAACAACTTCTTATCTAAGGAATTCTGTTCCATGGGGCCCTCTCTCGAGGGTCTGCCTTTTCTCCAGAGAGGGTCTCTGCTCCCTCAACACTCCTCCTCCCAGCCATATCTTTTGTTCTCTTAAGTTTTGGTCTCTTAGCAACAAATGGGAGAAAATTCCCTAAAAGAAGGAGAATAAAAAGGGAAAATCCTGACCTCCAACACTGAGCCAAATGGCAGTATTGGAGATACTTTTTGGAAGGGATGGACAGCATAATGACCCTGACAAGGTCAGGTGCACAGCACAAATGTGGTGGAGCCTTGCACAGCAGAGGCCATCTGAATACTCCAGCTTCATGGGAACAATGCATTTTGGGGACAACCAAGAGACAGTGAATTCTGCAGCAAGCAAACTCAGGAATTATGAGACCATGGTCCATAGCCTGATGCACACTCATGTCTCTGCTGTGGTTGAGTCTCAAGGATAAACAGGAAAAATTCAGAGAGAAGATAAGGAAGGACAGTTCTCATGTGCCACCAGTGCAAACCAGAGGCCCCAGTTAGGGAGAGGGAGAACACCTCACAAGCTGACCTGTGGTTTTTCCTGTGTGAACATGGGGAAGATATGAGAAGGTGGAATGGAAAACCCATCTCTGTCCTAGCAGCATGGGTATGCAAGCTGAAGGAGGAAACTACTAAGGGAGTAAGTTCCACCAAAATGAATGTAGTCCCAGCTTCCCCTGGCCAAGCTGCCAGATATAACACAAGGGAGGATGATATGACAGATCCCCCTTGAAGGAACACCCAGAATATATGCTCAGGGAGGGAAGATCAATTCAGTAATTTTACCTTTAAGTTCTCTTAGGTGTACTGTATCTAAGTAACACTAAGTTTCAGTGAAATTAGTTTTAAGTTCTGTAAAAATATGTTTAAATTATAAGATGCAATTTTTTTGATATAGAGAGGAATAATGTGAAGTTTGCATGGAGCTAACTTCTGTTAAAATATGTTCATTTAAACAACAAGATACAGTTATTTAATTGTAGAGATAAGATAGAACCGATTAGTTAAGCTATTTAGTGCTTTTTTACTTTTTTGCTTTAATGTCATATATGCATGAATGTCTAAGAAAATATTACCTCAATTTCTTAAGACAGTTACTACTGATAGATTAATAATCCTGATTATGTTGTTAATCTCATTATATTAATTCACTGACTTTTTATAACAGGCATTATCCATAAGATATTATTACTTTATTTATTTGCCATTTGTCTGTGGTACCACTGACTGAAGATAAATGACAAAGTCGACTGCTTTACAGACTTTAATATATCCTTGTAGAGCTATCTACAAGACATATCATTTTAGAGAAACCTTCCTAACTACTATTACTGAGAGGCTTTTAGAATATATTAGGGAGACTCTTCCAGTTAAGGCTGGGGCCCTGGCCAATCCTAGCCTTACCTGTTCAGGAGGTATGCCAACAACCTGGGTGTTTTCTGTACCAAATTCGTACTCAAGTAATTTTGACTTGCTGGATTTGGACCTGTAATAACTGGAAGTCTTTTTGGATTGAACTTGGAAAATCTTACCCAGGAAGAGTTCTCCAAGCCCTCACTCTAAAATGAGGCTTGCCAGTTACTGCGGACTCTGGGTGATGGTGCAGTATTTAGGGAATTGATAATGCATTATTTTCAATCATCATTCTATCTTTCATGTATTACTAATCGCATGTATTATCCAATTTATTTTTGCTTGGTGTGAGTTTATGGTTTTGCCATTTTTTTTGCTTTTTATGTTGCCTTCATGTTCAATACTGAGAGACACACTGAGAAGGGGGAATATGGTCCCTCAAGAATGTTTAAATAATTCAATATTGATACTAAAAATTTTGAAATGAAATTAAGTCAAGTTTAATCCTGGCAGAGCAATACTGCTTTGAAGATTTACATGTGCAGAGACAATTTCTAGAAGCTTCTATGTAAAGGTCTTTAACTGAGTGTACAATAATGAAGCCTAGCTGATTTACTAACCTAGGGAGAAGTTATGCATGTGTTTTATCACCATCAGGTACAAAGTCTGAACAAACATCGATCACCTTCAAAAGAATGAGGCCTAGAGAAAAGAAAAATTACTTAATTGCTATCCAGCCCTGACATTGACCTCTGAAGATTCATGATTTCACCCTCTGGGGATGCCTGTGAGAAGAACCTCATCAGCACCTGTTTGACCTCTAACAGACTTATGGACATAGTAGATGGATTAGAAATTTAGTTAAAATAGGCTTATGTGTATTAGGCATTATATTATGTATTGTAGTAGTTATTCCTTGTATTTTACAGCATGTGAAAACATTAATAGACAAGTCACTTAAGAGTGTCTTTTTAGTTGAAAGGAATAGGGGAGATGTGGAAGCTAAGACAGAGACTACTGTGGATTTAATTAGCACATGCAGTTTGATAACCAAGATGCCTTGGCAAGAGCAAACAGAGCTTTGAAGATTACAAGAAGATTGGATCGAGGCTGATGACAGGAAAGGAGATTGAATTAAGTAGAAATGTAAAGTTTGTCTGTGTGATGTTTAACTCAATGAATGTAGTAAAAACTTACTAGCCTCCCTAAAAATGGTTATAAGCACATGTACCTCACAGTAGATTTGGATTCTGATCATGAGTCAGTAGTCCCCGTCTCTCTCACAATCCTCGATTAACCAGGACAATCTGTCATCATTAATGGAAAAATTGACCTAGGAGGTAAAGGAATTCACTGAAGCACAGTTTCAGCCCTTGCCTAGGAATTGTTCCTGATCCTCACAAAGCAGGGACTTCTATGGTTTGAAGAATACTCTTTGAACCTGGGCAAGGTGACCTCCAGAGGTGCCTCCAACCTCCCCAGCCTGAGTTTCTGTGACTCAGAAAAAACAGGTTGTAGTTTCCAGAGGACAAATTAAGCTCCACACATGGCAGGCTTCTCCTGCCCTCATCAAAATGGTTCATGACATGAGTTTCCTTTCTGCAGATTCCTCCCTGGAAGGAGGATGCTCCTCAAGGTCACTCCTTGAAGCTGAGAGAAATGTTTGCCCATAGTCATTGGTTTGGGTGAGTAGCATCAATCTTTCATTCAGAATTCTTTTTGCTGGCTTGGATAGAATGACTTCAATGTTGCTTCAAATATAATGCACTATCCCCTAAGTTATAGTTCTCTGTACTGGGTAGTAAGTAATTCTGATAAAGATCTTTGAGTTTAATTATGATCATAATAAACTCTTTATTTGTCTATAAATATATTCTTCATCCTATGAAACACAGTTGTATAAAGGCTCAATTACATCTATACTATCCTTTAAACATCAACTATTGACTAATTCTAAGACTGCATCCAGCTGCTCCCTGGCTCCTCTCTGAGAACTACAGGAAGTCAGGAGGTCCTTTCTGCACTTGTAACTCAGCGGGAATGTCTCCTGCCTGCAGCAGGGACACCTGGAAGAGGCACAAGGCCCGGCTCAGACAAGCCCACGCTGGCAGGAGCATCCACAGCCCCATGGTACCGGCTGTCGGGGCAGACACAGCCTCCAACTCCAGCCCTCTCCAACACTCTGCCCTTGGGGAAGGGGAAAGGAACAGGCTCCCAGACTGGCCCTGAACACAGCTCAGATGATCAACAAGTCCAGTTCATGGCAGGCAAACCC